CACTAATTATCATTAAAATATAATATTTATTAAATTTCGTACAAAAAGTAAATATATACTTACGAAATGAACAGATGAAGTACATACTATGTTTATATAGAGGTTTTTTATGTTATGAAAATTTTCGAGAAGTAATAATAATAATAATAATAATAATAATAATAATAATAAACATTTGATGTGTTGTTTTGGGATGTATTTTATTGAGATATAATTTTAAAAATATTTAAAATATCAACAATAGTATTCATATAAAAAATAATACTAATATCATAATTTATTAATCTAAACTATTTAAAATACCGTATCCCAAACAAAATGGTTCATTTTTCCCGGATGAAAATAGTAATAAACATGCACTAAAAAACTTTGTAGTGTTTGTTTTAAATTTTTATCAAATTTGGAGTATTATCACAAATATTTATTTTCATTTTTTTTAATTACTTTGTGAGGAAAAATATAGTTATATATATATATATATATTTATTAGCAATGGTTTTTGTAAAAATATTTGCATAGTATGATATAAAAGTAAACAAATTTCTTAATATTTTATATGTAGTCCAAAAAGGAAAATTAATAAAAATGATGCAAAATTCATTCTTTTAATTTACTTATTATCTCCATAAATTTATTTACAATTAGTAATTATAAAGAAAATATGATTAATTCTATACTATACTAGTTCAGATTATATTTTATTAGTTAGATAATAATAATTCATAAAATATTGGGTCCCACATAAAATATATATATAATAATTTGAAAATGTATTTAAATTATTTTTTTTAAAAACAAAAAACCCCAAATCAATTTTGATTATGATAAATTTTTGTAATTAAATATGAAATAATCATATATATATAAATAGTCTTAATATTATGTGGGGTAGTGTGTGGGACATACACAAATTATTAGCTTTTCAATTATATATCATAAAAATTCAAACTTTAAAAAAAATATTAGATTAAAAATAAAAATAAAATTGTTAAATAAATCACCTTTCTGAAAAGGAAAATTCTTTTTGAAGAAAAAAAATGGTTCCAAGAGTGCATCTTAAGTAAGTCTTTTTTTTGAGAAAAAAAAAATAAATAAAAATAATAAAAATATAAAATAAAAGCATTTACTGCAGTGGCCCACACTGTAAAATATTTGTTTGGCAATTTAAATACTCCCTCCGTCCCAGATACCGTGTCTGCTACATTGTAGATACGGTATTTTAGGAGGGGTGTAATTAGTAGATAATTAATAATGTATTAGTGAAAATAATTATCCTATAATATAATTTTAAAAAAAAAGTAAAATTAAAAAATTTAAAATGAGATTAAAATGTGTAATCATTTTCCAAAAAAGGAAAGTGACATGGTATGTTGGACGGACAGAAACGGCAACGTGGACCTGGGACGGAGGGAGTAATATATTTTTTAATTACATTAACTGTAAATAAATTAAAGAAATTCCTAAATCAATTTGCAGTAATTTATTTATTTAATTTGACTATTGGAAAGTGATTTTAATTATGTAGATGTGAAGTCATTATTTTTATTAGCTTAGATTTCTTTGTTACATTTGTTGGGATTTTAATTAAAACCTTCTACCAATTATGACATTAACTAATATGACCTTGTGTTTTTAATTATATATATATATATTGATAATTTGAAATAAAAAAAAATATATATTGAATATAAATTGTTTATTTGAGATTTTAATTTTGTATTTTGGTTTGAATAGTAACGTCAATATAATATTTTATAAAGTGCATTTTTATAAAAAAAAAAAAAAAAAATTGTGATAATTGTATGACAAATTTTTTGAACCAAAAATTTCAAATTAATTTTTCTATTATTAAGCTTATGCAATTTTTAACAGAAATATATTATTTTTTTATATAAAAAAATTACGTTAAATATTATAATTTAAACAAATTTTTTTTTTAAAAAAAAACTCAACTACAAATTAAACAAAACCCCTAATACATATCTAATTAATTTTGTACTATAAATGTGATAGTGTTTAGGTATGATATCTAATACTTATTTTTATTAAAAATTTATAAATAATATTTTTACATAATAATAATAATAATAATAATAATAATAATAATAATAATATGAAAAGGCAAAGAAAGTAAAGAAAAGGGCGAAGAATCTGACTTTTAATTAATTTGCAAGGAAATGAATGTTTGATGTGTTTTTGGGAACACACACACATATATATATATATTTAAAAAAATTATAATACAATATTATATAAATTTGTATTAATATAATTAACATTTTAATTCCAAATATATTTAAACAAGATTTTTATTTTTATTTTTATTTATTTATTTTTTAAGTTTTGGAGACACGGATGTGTGTTTGTTTAGTCGTTTGAGCGTAGATTTTAAATAATAAAATTTTAAACTAAAATAATTATTTTGTGGGATGTAAAAAGATACAATTAATTTGATAGTCTAAATATAAAATTAAATTTAATGTAATATAAAAAATAAATGTTTAGTAGAAATTATAAAAAAAAATATCAAACAAATATCGCCAAAAAATTTAAAAAATATTGAAAATTAGATAAAAATAAATATTTAATATTTTTAATGACGTATAAATTCGCAATCGCTATTCTTTCAATAAAATTATATATTTAAATAATAAAAGAAAAATCTACAAATTTGATCCGACAAAATAAATTACACTAAATAAACCTAAATATTCTATTTATATTAATACTTAATATGGTCTCCATTTAATTATAAATTTACATTCATATTTATTTATTAAAGATATCATTTCATATCATACATATTAAACTTATTAAGTCAATGATATATATATATTTATCCGTACGAAATATTTATGTCATTTTCATTAGGTAAAAATGATTTGTTCATATTTGAATAATTTTTCATAAATATTACTCCTTCTATTCCATAACTATGTATCAATTTGTTTTTTACATGAGATTTTAAAAATATTAATATTATATTGGGATGCAGTAGAAATAAAGTATAAATAACTAAAATAACCTTATTAGTATTGTGTGATATAAAAGTAGTGATATTTGTGTAATATATTGTAAGTTATATAAGAGTATTTGTAATGTTAGGTAGATAGTACAATTACTAAAAAACTGAAATTGATACTTTGTTATGAAACAGACTAAAATAAAAAAATGAATACTTTGTTATGGGATGGAATGAGTATTTTTTTCAAAAAATACAATATACATATACATTAACACAATATATATAATTTATCAACACAAAAAAATTAATAATTTAATACAAAATATTATTTTTTTGTATTACAAACATAACTTTTCTACGTATAACATAAAGATAATCAATTCAAAAATTTACAATAATAGTATATTAGTATGAACATATGATTGATAAAAAGGTAAAATAAGAAAATTTATTAAAGAATTAATTAAAATTTAGTAAATAATTTAAAAAATAATAACAAATTAGTTATTATTTGTTAAAATAAAGTAATCAAATTGTAAATAAATAAAATATTTAAATTGTGCATGAATTTGAAAAAATATGACATAACTATCTGAACGAAAAAATAATATAGAATGAATGAAAGAAAGAAATTATATAAACATATATAAATTTTATAATATTATGGAAAAAAAAAAAACCCATAGGTCAAACTAGTTGTTCATATTGTATTTTTAGATGGTATAATTATGTATAAATATTATTAAAAAATATAAATACATACACACATCAGTACAAATCGATAATTCATTTTTTTTTATATCTAATATAAAAAATAAATTTATAAAAAAATATACTCCCTCCGTTCCGGAACTAAATATTCATTTGCTTTTGCACGTAGTTTTAGAAATATTAGTATTATATTGAGATATAGTAGGAATAAAGTAGAAATGACTAAAATAATGTTATTAGTATGTGTGATATAAAGGTAATGACATTTGTGTAATATATTGTAAGTTGTAAGAGTATTTGTAATGTTAGGTAAATAGTACAGTTACTAAAAAAGAAAATAAATATTTTGTTATGGGACGGAGGGAGTATTTCCTTCGCCCAAAATTAAATGGACAATTTGAATTTTTTAATACATTTAAGAAATAATAATATTTTATGAATTGCGTAAGAATTTTTGACAATATTGTCTTTTAACCTTTATATACAAAGTAATTGTCTTGTAATAGTATATTTACTTTATCCGTCTCACTTAATTTGTCCACTATTTATATTTTCATCAGTCTCACATAATTTGTCATTTTTTTAAAAATATAATTATATATTTTAATCATATTTTAAATTCATAATTTATATTTTTTTTATTTTAATTAAACTATTTAATCATATTAATCTTAATTTATAATTATTTTTATTAATTATCTTCTTAATTATTTTAAATTACACCATACTTAAAATTTTGTGCCTAAGTTAAATAAGAGCTCAAAATACAATTTAAATAAAATTAAAAATATTTTAATATTAATATATAATTATTTTTTAAAACACTAAAAAAATTATATTTTAAAATATAACAAACAAAATAATAATAATAAAAAAATTAAATTAGAGCTGATGGAGTAAAAAGAAAATAAATCCAATATGTCATTTTACTTTTTGAACCATCTTCCTCCGAAAAGCCCCAAATTAATGAATTCCAGAAACCCTAATCAGTCCAAATCCAATTTTAATTTTCCCCAAAATTCCCAAATCCCAATCGCGATTCCCCCAATACGCGTATCCCATACGATCCCCGTGTACGCCCTACGCATTTACAGCCCCAATCGACGCGTACGGACATACAAAAAGCGTAATTTGCAGGAAAAGGGAGGGAACGGAACGGAAGTTTCAAATGAATGAGGAGCGGTGGGAGAAGAGGTGTGGGACCCCCTGTGGGGTTGGGTGGTGGGGGTAGGGTAGACGGGGGGGTGGGGGGTGGGTATTGAAGAAGACTTCAACGTCACGACAGGGAAGGGTGAGTGTAAAAGACAGCTTGCAATGAGGTAATAACCTCACCCACCATATTTCCCATTTCCCTCTCTGCTTTTTAGCCCATTCCTCTCTCTCTCTTTCCCCTCCCCCAGTTTTCTCACTCATCCCCTTCTCTTTCCCCTCTTTTTAAAATTTTCAGAGAGAAACGATGATATAGATACAGATATATAGAGATAGATAGATACAGAATAGGTCCTCACTTCAGTGAACAGTGGTAGCCATAGTTTTAGCTTTAGCTTCTTCTTCTTCTTCCTCATCGGTTAGGGGCATTTTGGTCATTTCACTTTGCCCGGGGAGGAATTCTTCTGCAGTTCAAGCTCAGGTTTGGTTCTTAATTTCCTTGTTTGGTTGAATTTTGGATGTGAAAGTTTAGAAAGTTTGAGTATTTAAAGTTATTGTCTTTAATTTTAAAAAACCCCCAAAAATATTTCAATTTATATAATTTTTTTTTTTTTGCATTTCTACTGTTTCACCATTTTCATGAAATACTAAGAATTCTGGCATTACACAAAATTTTCTTGCAGGAAAGCCTTTGCTTTCTTCAAAAAAATTCCAAGGTTTGTCCTGGCCATAATTTTGTCAGTATTTTTTGTTCTTATTATGGTTTCGACAAAAAATTATGGTGTCGGTGAGTTAAAAAGAATTTCTCTAATTTAGATATTTACAAATCTCTATGTTCAAGAGAAAAAAAAAAAAAAAAATGGCAGAAAAGAAATATTTTTATAATATTAAGATAAAAAATTCAATCTTTGTATGTTGTTATATTCTTGTAATGAAATGTATTGAATCTAATTATGGTTAGAATTTTGTGTTATTAGAATTGGGTTTCATCTTTTTGTAGGAAAAAAGCAATCTTGTAATGAAATGTATTGAATCTTAAGTATTGTTGGAACTTATAATTTGTGTTCTTAATAGAATTGTTGTTTCATCTTATTGTAGGAAAAGGAAAAAAAGCAATCTTGTTGAGGCAATGGACCCGAATTTCGGCGACGAAATCGACTGCGGGAGCTTCTTCGATCAAATCGACGACTTGATCGAGTTTCCTTCGGACAATGACTGTGGAGATGGTAATAACTTTGTGAGCATTGATGATTGTAAGACGTTTACCGACATGTGGAGCGATCCCTTGCCGGAAAGTGACGCCATTTTCCCTGGTGGCCATCTCAACTCCGGCTCCGACCTCTCGGCCGAGCTCTCCGTGCCGGTAAGAAAACATTCGTATAGCGATCGTTCTTGATTGTCGTAGAATTATGTGAATTTGACAACGATGTTTGTTTTGATTGATGGTAATTCGGATTTATGTTGCGTCGTAATGTGTTGGAATTTAAGGTTGTTCGATTAGGTTAGTTTGTTTCTTCGTATGTTCTTGATTTGTTCGATGGTTGGATTAAGTTTCGGAGAAATCAAGGATGTTACGATTAAAAACGCAGAGGTCAGATAGTAAAATTATTTTCTTGATTTGTTTGATGGTTGGATAAAGTTTCGGAGAAATTGAGGATGATATGATTAAAAACAGCAGAGTTCAGATAGTAAAATTTGAGAAACTTCTGCCCGAGAAAAATATCGTAATGTTTTGTTTTGGTTGTTTTTTGTAGCACGAGGATATCGCGCAACTCGAATGGCTCTCGACTTTTATGGAAGATTCGTTTTCGGACGGAGGGATGACGATCGGGAAGGATACCGTGAAAATCGACGACGAGAAGGACCCGTCGGTGCGGAAAAACAATCAATTTCAAATGTCGAGCCCCGTCTCCGAAATTGAAAGTAGCACGAGCTCGTCCTCCTCGTCGAATGGGAAGATCATACCCCTCGGCCCGAATCATCACCGGGCTGCACAACGGGCTCGGAGCAAGCGCCCCCGCCCGACAACTTTCCACCTCCGCCCCGGGATTCAGCTCATTTCCCCGTCGTCGTCCTCTGTCGAGACGGGCCCGCGCCTCCCTCCGGGGCTTTCCTCTGAGTCCGACAACTTCGTCGAGTCGTCACCGGCGGCGGCGACGAAGAAACTCCTGAAGCCCGCAGGAGACGAGCAAAAGAAAAAAAAGAAGATCAAAGTGACTTTCTCGGCCGATCCGGCAAACCGGGACCCGCCACCCGTCCGCAAATGCCTGCATTGCGAGATCACCAAGACCCCGCAATGGAGGGCCGGCCCAATGGGCCCGAAGACACTATGCAATGCTTGTGGAGTCCGCTATAAGTCGGGCCGGTTATTCCCTGAGTACCGCCCGGCTGCTAGCCCGACCTTCATCCCGTCCGTCCACTCCAACTCTCACAAGAAAGTCGTCGAGATGAGAAACAAGATTGTCCCCGGGCCCGCGACACCAACGCCGGCGATGGGCTAGAATCTTTATCTCTGTTAAAGAAAACAACCCCCCCGGGGCATGCGACGGGCTTGGAGTGGGGCCCGGCCCGGCCCATCACAGTACTCGTCGTGCCCTCGGGGGTTCGGGATTTAAATTTCTTTCGTTCTTTGGTTCTTTGTATAGTAATGCGTAGTCGGGAGGATAAACGCGATAGTCGGGTATGGTCGAGTCAGGTTGGATCAGGTCAGGTTTCGGATGATCGTAGTAAGAAAGGTTAGGTTTTTATTGAGTCTCCTTTTGAATTTTTTTTTTTTTTTTTTTTTTTTTTTTTTTTTTCATATAGTTTGGAAGAACATTAGTATTTGTTGTTATTCCTTTTGTGGGAAGAACTATTTTTGCAGTTGAAAATTTGTTGTAGGGATATTTCTACAATGATCCATTTTATTTAGTAATTTTTGTTATTTATTTTTGGCATTTTGATATTTATATCATTATATTTTACATCAAAGTCTTTTAAATTTAGAATGATATATATATATACAATGTATAATTATATTTAAAACAATATACTATATACAAACGCATGATGGTGATAAATGAGTATATTTGATGTTAGAAATTAATTTTATTTTTTTTTTGTGCTGAAATCAATTATAATATATTACTCCCTCCGTCATTTAATAATTTATTCATTTTTTTACTTTAATCCGTCCCATAACAAAATATTCGTTTTTTTTTTTTTTAGTAATTGTACTATCTACCTAACATTACAAATACCCTTCTAATTTACAATATATTATACAAATGTCATTACATTTATATCACACAATACTAATATGGTTAATTTATTCTTTTTACCTTTATTTCTACTTTATTCCAATATAATATTAATATTTCTAAAACTCCGTGTAAAAAGCAAATGGATATATAAATATGGGACGGAGAGAGTATTATATAAGACTATGTCATATACAATGTATGCTCTTTGTTATCATATCTAGTTACCAAAGAATTTATTCAAATTTGCAGCACAAATTTTAATATAGGTGTAATTTTGATTACTTTTTATGGTTAAAAAGATAATTTGTGATAAAAAATTTTACTTTAAAAAAAAAATAGAATATTTTAAACTGTTAGAAAAAAAAAAAAAAAGTGAGCACAAATTTCAAATTTTGATAAATATATATTGTATAATTTTATGAACTCATTAAATATAAATTTATTTTGAATGAATTATTAGGCCGAGTACATTAGAATTTTAATTTTATTGGGCCATATAAGCCCACTAATTATTTTAGGCCCATGAAATTGGGCCTTATTAATAGAACGCAATATACAATTCCTGCAAATATTTTTACAATTTTAATTCTTATAGGCAATTAACCAAACCAAACTTGTTTTTATTTTTAAGAAAAATAATTGTTGAATGCAATATTTTGATTTTTTATTTTTTTGGGAAATTATGAGTTCCATACTTAAAAATAAAAAATCACACAAAACATTGCCATACATATTAAGAACGTAATAATTTTTTTTTTCAAAAATATCAAATCAAATCTATTTGTATTATTAATATTACATAAAAAAAAAATCATTTACATTTAAAATTTTAATATTCAAAATTCAAATTTTACAGACAAAAAGTGTCTAGAGATTGTATTTTATTATTATTATTAGTTAATATAAAGCTAATTTTTAGGATTATTCATTTAATTGAATGAACTTAAGATTGAGTTATTTTTCAAAATATTTATAGTTTTTTTTATGTTTAAAATACTACATAAAATTTAATTCAAAATACCATAACCAAATATGTAGATTTTCATTTATAATTTTACTATTTTTAAATAGACAAAAAAAAAAAAAAAAGTTTCGACAACATAAATAGGATAAATTATATTGCATGAAGCTCCTAGTATTATATTTTTTGCTATAAATTATTTTGTATTAAATTAAAATATACATAAATATCATATTCATCTAAACATATAATGTTGGTTGTAAATACGAATTCAATTATATCAGTTTTATATAAATAAAAGAGATAAAATATTTTAAATAAAATAAAATAAATAATTGATCGATTATCTATTTTACAAACTTTATTTTTATAAAACTCAATAATAATTTGTTTAAAAATAACTCTAAGTTGCAATATGATGGGCCCATCTAAAAAACTAGTGGGCCCATTGTAATTTTTAAAGATATACTTAGTGGGCCTATAAGTAGGTTAAATGGGCTTTCACATATTGTTGGTCTTTTTTAAGCCATTTTTTGCAGCTTTGAATTAATATTTATTTATTTTGGTAAAAATATTTAGGAGCTTATTTTGGTATATATACATATATATATTGATATTTTTTCATTATTTGGAAAATATTTTTGTCCCTTCGAAACTTGGGTAATTCATATTTTATTTTATTTTGATATCAAAAAATAAAAATAAAAAATTCCTTCAATAAAGACTATTTATTTTGATTTTTCTGAAAAAAATAATAAAAAAACTACTATACAATTTTACTGTATGTATAGAAATAATTATCTTGACAAAAAATATTATATGTAAGTACTATTTAAGCATAGAATATAAATAAAAAGTAAAAGGACAAAGTAGATAAAATAAAAATAATAATTTACTATTCAATATATTAAAAAATAAATAAATAATATCGATTATAAGAAATATAAAATTATATACTAAGGTACATAAATATAAATATATGTAAATAATTAAATGAAATTAATTAATGATACCAACATTGGTTTCTGCTACAAAAGTAGCAAAGTAAAAAGGGACATTTAATTTAATTTAATTTATTTGTAACAATTAGGGATGCTTAATTAAGACAAAACGACAACGTTTCACCGGCTAATTATTTTATTTTAATTTATTATGGAGGATATTTGCAAAAATACAATATTGGGACAAATTAATTAATTAATTGCCGCTCTATTTTGGCTTATGTTTTTATCTCTACTGATATATTATTATTATTATTAATTCATGGTATTTTACTATTTTTAAATGAAAATTGAGTAGGTATTTTTTTATATATTATTTTAATTAAAAAATTATTTAAAAAGATCTTTGGTGTAATTATTTAGTTGTGCAATATTTTTATAAAAATAAATTATTCGTTTTCATAAAATACTCTCTAAATTTTATAATAAATAATACTCCCTCCTTCCCAAAACTATAATCTGAGTTGTGTTTTGCACGATATTTAAAAATTATTGATATTATATTGGCAGTAAGTAAATATATTGGTAGTGGGTAAAACGTACGGGTAAAAGACTTTTGCCCTTGTGAGTGTATTAGTGTAAAAAGTAATGACAATTGTGTAATAATAATGAAAAAGTAAGGGTAGTTTTATAATAATATGGTTATTTATGGAAATGAGACTATTATTTTTAACGAACAAAAATGGTAAACAAGACTATTGTATTGGAACGGAGGGAGTATTTTTTTTTTTTCATTTTAATATGTTTCATAACAAGTGACAATTTTCTATAGTTAGTTAAAATTTTAACTTTTACAAAATTATATTCATATTACATATATATTATAGAGATATAATTTTTAAAATATTTAAATACATATTTTTACTTTTTTTTATCATATATATATATTAATTCTTATTATAAATTACTAATAATACCAACTAAATAATAAAATGATATCATAATTTACTATTATTAACTAATTAAACATTGGTACCTTAAATATCATTTTTATTTTTTTTTCTACAATTTACATATTATTACAAAAATATTACTCACTTCATCTCACCTATAATATCACATTTTTTATTTTCGTATGTTCTACGTATTATGTTATTTTTCATTTTTGAAAAAATACTATGCATTGTAATTTTGTTTTAAATTTTATAATTTATAATTTTTTCGTTTTTATTAGACTAGTTAGTTATCTAAACCTTAATTTATAATTATTTGTATTATATTGTAATTAATTTTACTAATTATACCTCTCTTAAATTCTCGTGTTTTATTTAGATAATATTTTAATACTCCCTCCGTCCCAGATACCGTGTTTGCTATAGACATGGTATTTTAGGAAGGGTGTAATTAGTAGATAATTAAAAATGTATTAGTGAAAATAATTATCCTATAATATAAATAATTATAAATTAAGATTAAGATAACTAATTAGTTTAATTAAAATTTAAAAAAATAAAATTAAAAAATTTAAAATGAGGTTAAAGTGTGTAATCATTTTCCAAAAAAGGAAAGTGACATGGTACGTGGGACGGACAGAAACGGCAACGTAGACATAGTATCTAGGACGGAGGGAGTATAATATTTTATAATAAAAATAATATAGTTTTATTAAAGTTTATATAAAATGAATAATGTTGAATAGTAAACGAATATATACTTGACGGACAAATAATATTACTTCATCTGTCCGCATGTAATGCTCACATTTACCTTTTGCATCACTGTATTTACCATTAAAAATATCATTATATTTGTATATATATTTTTTTTTATACAAATGTCCTTCTATTAGTATTATATGACATTAATTGAAGTAATTTTACAATTTTTTTTTTTTAATTCGTACTATGTTTTGATATAATAATTAATATTCAAATATCAACACTTAAAGCCGGACGTAGTAGTATTATTTTTATCATAAATATAACAACCAACTCAGTTTGAGTATTAAGATATGTAATTTAATAAAAAGATTTAGGGGATGTTTGGCAAATAGTTTTTTGAAGAGTTTTTAACTTATTGAACAGCTTTTAGCTGTTTGATCAGTCAAAAAGCTAATTTAAGTGTTTGGTAAATTAGCTTTTTGGAATAGCTTTTTGGACCCAAAAAGCTAATTTCTGAAAGGTTAACTTACCCAACGTTTTGAAATAGCTTTTTCTGTAATTTTTTTTTATTTTTTAATGCCCTTAAAAATTTATTATGCGTTTTACACAAATAAATATATTTTGATTATTTATTAATTATATTAGAATATTTTATTATATTATAGTTTTACTTTTATAAATTTAAAATAATTAATTTTTATATAAAAAATTATTTTAATTATAAAATATATAAATTTATTAAAATCAACATAAAATAAAAAATATAAATATTAATAATTTATTTTTATATTAAAATTACATTATATAAATCTTATACTAAAAATAAATTAAATAAATTAAATTTATTGAAAATTATAAATATAATAAACTAATCGATAGCTAACATAATAAATATATACACGAAAAATTTATTATTTTATATTTTACATCATTTTCAATAGAAAAAATTATTTATATATTTTAATAAAAATATATTATTTTTTAAATCTAACTGTAATAAAAATAAATATTTTTATAACACTTTTACAATTTTTAATAATTAATAACAAAAAATTTTAAACATTCTAAACTCAAAATAGCATAA